AACTTTCAGACAAATATTAAGTAAAAACTTAACATATTATATAAATAATAATTTAATTTTTTTATCAGATAAAAATATTCAATAAAAACTTCATAATGTGAAAATAAAACTTTTTAATTGTTATTCATATAAATTATTAAAATTTTATTTAAAATTCATATTTAAAAAGTAAAAAAGTCAAATTTAGTTTACTAAAAATGAACCCAAAAAATATATATTTATGACAAAAAAGTGTTCTTACTTTGTATTTTTGGACAGATAAAAAACATTTTTATATTTTCATGCATAGATAATCAAGTTACAGTTCCTCACTTTTTTAGCTTTTTTTCATTTTCCTAGTTTATAGTTTTTTTATTTGATTTTAATTTTTTTTCATTTTCCTAGTTTATAGTTTTTTTATTTGATTTTAATTAATATATAAAGAGAAAAAAGAGTCTTTTATCTAATGAATTTTTTTTAATGGATGCAGATTGGCGCAGAAGGGGGTTGATGTGTTGATAAAAAAACAAGGGTTAAAGTAATAGAAATAATTGAAAAGAGAGATCTAATTTAAAATTAAAATATAAAAACTATGAAAGCCAACTAAACACCAAATTTACAGCATATGTTAAAAAAAATAAAAAAAAAATAGTTTCAACTGCTGACCGTGATGCATTTAACAGTCTAGATTAACAAAAATTAACGGATGTAGAAACGGAGTCAAGGAAAGGATGACAATGAACAAAATAAAGGGAGTAGAGGGACGACATTTGGTGTAATTTGAGAGTAGAGGGATGACAATGAACAAATCTGTAGTAGAGGGACGGTTATGAACAAAATTTAAAAGCAGAGGGATGATAATTGACTTTAACCCTTAAATAAATAAATGTATTTGAACATGAAACATTGGTTTTGAATTAAAACTGTTCGTCTTTCGTGAGTTGATGTTCGAATCTGACGAAAATTTTTTTTCTCATCTCTTAATTAAAATAAAAGCATTTAATATAATTTATTTAATATAAATAAAAAATTTAATTATTTAAATAATATATCAAATTATATCAAAAATAATAATAATAAATTATCTCAAAATCATTTTCTTTTATTAAATTAACCAACACGCCTATTTACGAAAGATACCATTCATTAAAATTTCCATTTTTACTAACTTTAAGCCGTCCCTTCCGCGCCTAAACTTGAAACAAAAAGCTTGGAA